TAGTCAAGTTGTTTGAAAAGCTGATAAGGGATTCAGTGGAGAACCACCTGAATAGATTCAACCTTCTCAGTGTTGCGCAACATGGATTCCGCAAGGGATTTTCATGTCAGACTAATCTACTTGTAGCTCGTGAAAGCTGGGCCGAAGCGGTAGACAGTGGCCACGCTGTAGACGTGCTATTCGTAGATTTTTCGAAAGCTTTTGACACTGTTTCACGTCTTCAGCTCTCACTAAAATTGAGATCTTATGGGATATCTGGTCGCGCCCTTCAATGGGTGTCTGCCTTCCTTGAGGGGAGGGAACATTGCGTACGGGTGGGGCGTAGCCTTTCGCTCAGGCAAGCTGTCCTTAGTGGCGTTCCGCAGGGCTCGGTATTGGGGCCATTGTTGTTCGTGATCTATGTAAATGACTTGCCGGGTGAGCTAGGGGTGTCATCATTAATGTTTGCTGACGACCTTAATCTCTGGAATATTGTGGATATCCCGGGGGTCCTGAGGCAATTCAGCGTGCCTTGGATAGGCTCAGGGAATGGTCTACCTTATGGTTGATGCCTATAAATAGGGCGAAGTGCTCTGTTCTCCTAATCGGAGCTCCAAATCTTCCCCCCTCCCGATATGTTGTCGGCGGTGGTGAACTCCCAGTTGTCACACAGCAGGTTGATTTAGGACTCGTACACGCATCAGCACTTCATTATGGAGACAACTGGAAAAAGGTTGCTTGTCGAGGGTTTCGTATGATGTGGTTTATCCGCCGCTCTTTCGGAATCCTAACGGCCAATTTGTTTGTGAAGCTGTTTTCGGCATTCGTCCGACCCCACCTGGAATATTGTAATCAGGCTTGTCCACCATGTCTTAACCGAGACAAAATGGACTTGAAGATGGTGTTACGAGTGGGCACTCGGTTAGTGCAGGGTCTACGGGGACAGACGTATCCTGAACGCTTGCTCAGTTTGGGGATGTACTCAATGCACTACCGAAGGATAAGAGGGGACCCGGTTCTCACTTACCATATTTTGACGGGTAAGATTAGCCCGGACTTGTCAGGGTTATTTAATCCCGCTACGTTACCTAATCTCCGCTGTCACCCACTGAAATTGCATAAACCACGGTCTGATAGGATTAGGACGGAAACTCGTCTATCGCGCCGAATTATAGATCGCTGGAATTTGCTTCCAGACCACTTGGTTAGGGAACCTACGGTTAAGGGTTTTGCGCGCCAGCTCGATGCTCTTGGGTGGCAACAGCAAACCTTTCTTTTTCCTAGCCGACTCACCTTTACTTTTCAGTTCTTTTTTTAATGACTCAAATATCTTGGTATTCCACTTGCTTAGCTCTTCCCACTTTCTCTTTTGCCTTCTGAGTTTACTTTTTTTTCTTACTTCACGTAACCGACCCAGCAAGGACTACTAGGGCAGGATACGTGGGCATTAATTGATTGGACAGGGTGTGATGCGGTCTTTGTTTTAGGTCCATCAGTATTTCAAAGTTCGCCAACTCCTGGTTCAACGACCCGCCGAAGAAGGAACACTCACGGGATAATCCTATCGTTCCAGTCCCGCTTGAACTTGAACTTGAACTTAAACACTGGAATATTGTGGATATTCCGGGGGTCCTGAGGCAAATCAGGGTGCCTTGGGAAGACCTGTGTGTGGTCCACCTTATGGTTGATCCGCATAAATAGGACCAATTGCTCTGTTATACGAATCGGAGCTGCTAACCCTCGCACCCCGGAAGTTGTCGGCGGTGGTGCAATCCCTTTTGTCACTGAATTGGTGGTCGGTTACTCATCAGCACTTCATTCTGGGGACGAATGGAAGAAGACAGCTTGTCCGGGGGTTCCGTATAACGTTGTTTACCTGCGACACTTGAAATCCCAACGGCCAAATTGTTTGTGAAAGTATTCTCGGCATTCGTCCGACCGCACCTCGTATATTGTATCCACGCTTGTCAGAACGCTTGCTCCGAATGGGGATGCACTGCATGCACTGCGGAAGGATAATTGGAGACCTGATTCTCACTTATCGTACTTTGACGGCGAACAGCGGCACGAACTTGTCAGCACTATTTAGTCCAGGTACGTTCCCTAACGTCCATGGTCACGCAGCGGGGAACGCCAACGCATGTTACCAGGTTACTATAGGGTAAATGGTTCCCATCCGCATGCCTCCCGGTCTTATTCCTTCGGGTTTACACTGGATATGGGGTATGTGGTTGGAGCTGTGGGTGGTGCAGCGCAAGCTATCCATGGTCCCTCTGTAGGCGTAGGCGTCCTGTGGCTTGCCACAGTGACAGGCAAATCCGAAACCGGATGCCGCCAACCATGTATGTATGTGTGCCCCATGCTGAGGCTGATGTTGCATTCTTGATGCTTCTTCACCGCAGTTGGGCTAAACCAACTTACACTTAAACTAGGTCTTTTTAAGCTGGATAAATTTCATTCCGCTTTATTTGGTTTGTTCTGCCTCCCTGAATAATGTTCTATTAACTGGTCACGTTGCTTACACTAATTGCGCTTATCTTCGGTAATTTTGTTGCGTTTGTAGCATTTTAAGTAACTTGTGGACATTTCTTACTTATCACGGATTTGTTGCTAACCAAATTACTTCATATGGTAATTTAGCGCAGAGTTATGCCACCGTATCTGTATGCATTATTGGATTTATTTTATTTCAGCTTGTCGTTTAAGGTGAATGTCTGTTGTTTGATATCCCTGGTATGGTTGCGCTTGATGTGTATGTTGACAAGGTGCCTACCTGTCTATTACCCACTACATCGTTCATACTGGCTCCAGGAGACAGTTGGTCGTTGCTGGAGGGGACGGGGTGCACGGTTCTTGTGGCCGTGCTAGGCTCAAAGAGCGGTTCCATGCACTCAGTGTGGAGCGGACTACGGTCCAGCCACCGCCTTGTGTGCGCTTGATTCCCCAAATACAGCGTGCTTGTGTTTGCCTGTGAAGGAGTGTGGGCCGGCTCCGTTGATGAAACGTGGTTCCCATCCGCATGCCTCCCGGTCTTATTCCTTCGGGTTTACACTGGATATGGGGTATGTGGTTGGAGCTGTGGGTGGTGCAGCGCAAGCCATCCATGGTCCCTCTGTAGGCGTAGGCGTCCTGTGGCTTGCCACAGTGACAGGCAAATCCGAAACCGGATGCCGCCAACCATAGGGTAAATGAGCAGGGTATCACCTTTACATAGTTGACACGTTGGACCTCTTGAACCCCCAGAGAGACTCGGTGTGCAAACCTTCACACCGTGTGGTGGGTATGGCCGCGCAGAAGCTGTAAATGGCATCAAAAGGATATGGTGCATTAGGTGCACGGAAGGAGCGGTGAAATGAACAAGACTTACGCAAGGCTTCACCAGCAGCTATCTTCTAACAATGAAGATGCCACGTATAGCTGATGTGATAACTGACTGCCAGAAATGGAGATAAGCCAAGACCATACATCGGCGACCGAGGGAACGACCCTTAAAACACCCTGTTTAAGCCAAATGGATAGTTTTACTAGAGGTCAAAGTAACACCACTTAGCGGAAATGGCTGGGTGGTCTTTGAAGCAAGTGTGTCTAGAAGCGGCACAAAAGGTCAAGGAAGTCATAAGGTGTTCAGTCCTAGGCAAAATGCTCACGCACGTATGGGTGAGGTCATGCACACTCATCCCCACGCGACGGATCACCAAGCAACTGGGTAAGATGATATCAGAATTACAGTGTGAGCGCATGGATTGCATGTACTACCGATGGTGCCTCAAGCGAACTTCTTACCTTTTCCATACATGTTATCATGGGGCTTGGCAAAGAACAACGGTTCTTTAGGCTGGTTAGAAGATGAAGTTGTAATAAAGGAACGTAGGAGGAAATATGTATCGTCACAACGCGGCAGAATTGCGGGTGCTTCTGATGTCCTTAGGTACACCTGATCACCCCCCCCCCCATCATCATGTCTGATTCCGATGGCGAGGTAGGCATATGTGCCGTAACGGCCAAGCAGGTGGGGCACCACATATGGGGGTAGTGGGTGTACCTAACGATCAAGCGAAAGCAATGGCGTGGTAATAAAGGAACAAAAAAGGTAGCAACATGAAAAAGGAGGACTTACCAACACCGATTGCAGGTGAAATGTTCCTGTCCATTGTACCACGTGCACAGTTGATGATACCCAAGGCCGCAGTCGGAGCACGTGACTAAGTCAATCACGTGTCCACTCTGTGCCTCGCAGTCTGATTGCAGGCATGAAGAGCAATTGTCATTACCGTAATTGGCTGGGAGTTTTGCATGACAACGACCCTTCCTTAGAAGCTTGTACACCCTGGCGGATTTCGTGTGCAAATCTTTAAAACGAAGTGGCTTGCTTTCCTGCTCCTGATAAACGGACGAATTTGGAATGGGCACCAAGCGTTGCTTATGTTCTGTGCCTTCCCTGATAGGTTCACTCATCCCTTCCGTTGCTGATTCAATCAAGGTTTCGGACGCGGTTCCGGAAGTGCAAGAACTTCGTCGTGTGTTCGGTATAGACAAAACGCGAACGACGGCTTACCACCCGCAAGGCAACGGACAAGTTGAGCGTACAAATCAGTCGCTGAAATCGCTACTGAAGGCCTTTGTGGAGCAAAATGTAAGTGAGTGGGATGTTATGTTACCAAAATGCTTACTGACATATCGGAGCACATTGCACGCTTATACTGCTCAAACACCATTTTTATGTGGACCGGAAGAGAAGTTCGATTACCGTCTGACATTCGACTATCCAGTCTGCAACAGCCACATTCATTGTTGATAGAGTATGTTAGCAAACCCCTTGATTCGCTTTATCAAACACGTCAAGCGGCACGTGTTTATCTTGGGAACGTCCATCAACGACAGAAAGACCATTACGACAAGAAAGTTTTCGGCGCTCGTTTGAAGGCTGGCGACCAAGTTTACTTGCACCAGGTATGTATGTATCTCAACAGTCTAGTAACTTGACATAGAGCCAGCAAAAACCATGAAGAACAGCAGAGAAGCAAGATTCGTCGTGTTTTTTAACCATCGTGGCATGCCAGTTGGAGGTGAGCAACACACTTCAACTAATATGCCGCAAGGAAGAATGGAACATATTGATAAAAAGTACCAACCGCAGGAGTCCCGGTCAAGCTACACTATGAGTGGACAAGGCCGTACATAATACAGCGGGTGATATCGGATGTGGCATGTGTTCTCAAAGATCTCAACAACCTTGCCAGTCAACCCATGATAGTACATTTCAATAGACTTAAGCCATTCCAGAGTAAAACTGACCAATCTGTTGGGGGGCCGAACGAAACGCCTGGGGAAGTAGCAGTTGAACTGGAGGTGCCGGCTCAGAGTGGCTATGGTGTGGCAACGGGGACGCTGCCTGATTAGAGGGGGTGTGGTGTAGAGAAGGATAGAAATGGATTTGGCGCGCGTCCAAAGTTGCATCTTTGCATTAACGGCACTATCTCCCGTTTGCCTTTCAGCGCGCGTTTCCTGCTCAATTACTGGAGGAGAACAAGGACACGACGACATTGGTTAACTGTTCCTTTTTTGTTGCGATTTACCTCATGTTGATAACCTTTTGTAGAGGCTACGTGTTGTGTAATAGCACTTCGTTCTCACCCCTTGGAGCTCTTCCGTGCTTGCAGGTTCCAAAATTGGCAACCGTGCCAATTCACAAGAACCAGGAATCCAGCATCATTGGTCTAATGAACGTCATGCCGAAAATGACCTTGAAGTCTTATGACGAAAGCCATTCTGTTGTTGACCCCACGACCAGACTTTCCACTTCAATGGATGCTTTTTCCCGTACTTTGGAGAAGTTATCGACAGGCTCGAATTCGTCAGTCTGCAGGTAGCTAATCCCTCCTCCAGAACGTTACACCTCCGGGATGACTTACTCAAGATGGGAAAAACAAGTACAGCTTTACTTCCGTCCTTTTTCAGGCGACGAACATGAGGTCTAGTCGCTGGTCTCAAATTCCATCCAACAAAGTGCCATTTACTTCAGACAGACGTAACGTATCTTGGGAACATCATTTCGGGGATGGGGATTCGAACTGAGCCTTGGAAGACGGAGAAAGTGAGATTATGGCCAACCCCTGCCAAGGTTGATGAACTACGCAGTTTTTTTAGGGTTAGCCTCCTACTATCGGCGGTTGGTGATAGGGATCTCAGAAATCGCAGCGCCTTTGAATACTTTGTTACAGAAAGGTCAGACCTTCGAATGGACCGTCGAGTGTCGCAATTCCTTCGATCGGCTACGAGAATCCCTCTGTGCCGCTCCGGTGTTGGTTTTCCCCGAGCTGTCACTGCAGTTTTAATGCAATCAAGGACACTTTCTATCACGAACTGAACGCCCTACTACTCAGTGCTACTAGTTCAGATATTAAAGTACTTACAGGGGATATGAATGCACAAGTAAGTCGTCTGAGCTCTTCAGAAGCTCAGCTGGATGGTAAGGATGGACTTAACTCCGAACGGACTGACAACGGCGAGCGTCTGCTGCAACTGTGTGCGGAGCACCAGTTGTTTCTTACTAGCACTGCTTTTAGACACAGTGGGCGCCGAAGTGCCACTTGGTGTCCACCTATAGCTTGCCAGCGATGGACCCGTATTGACCACATAGCCATAAGCTACGGGTGGCGCGGTTCCATTCTGGATTGCCGCTCGTACTGGAGTACCTGTGTCGACTCTGATCATGCCTTGGTGCGCTGTCGTTTTTCCATGAACTTTACCGGACGACGCACAAAGCCTCTCCCCCCATTGGCAACGGAGAAATTGTCCCAGCCCTCGGTCAGGCAAGCCTATCAAGAAGCACCGCATTGCGAACTCTCGCTGTCTTGTCCTAATGACACTGAACTTCAGTGGAATAGGATCTCGCCCGCTATGCACGACGCAGGAGCATCTGTTTGTGGCACTATCAGTCGTCATCGCACTAGTCACTGGATATCCGAGAGGTCGGTGAACCTATTGGAAGCTGGAAGACACCTCCCGGCTGGTTCTGAACACAATGCGACCAGACGGGCTATTAGGCGTGAACTAAACAGGAGCCTACGTGCTGACAAGGAAGCCTGGTGGACCAGTCGGGCTCAAGTAATGGAGGAGGCAGGAGCAGTAGGCAATTACCGCAAGCTCTTCAAGCCAATCCGCACCACTGGTCCCAGAAAACCAGGCGTCAGTGAGACAATCAGAGACAGCGCGGGTGCGCTGATACACAATAAGGAGCGCCGTATGTCTCGTTTGGCTGAACACTTTGAAGATCAGTTCAGTTGGCCCCTGCTCCCGGACCTCTTCCTACTCAGGTGATGCAGGAAGTGCCGTGGACGGTTAGTTTAAAGCCTCCGTCGGAGGCCGAAGTCCGAAACGCGCTCACAGCCCTCAATCGTTTTCTTGCCGCTGGGCCGGATTCCCTCCCACCTGCACTATTTAAGGATGGAGGTGAGGTCCTCTGTAAAACACTGACCTAGTTATTCGAATGTATCTGGAAGGAAGTGAGCGTCCCGGCTAATTGGAGCGAATCGATTATAGTGGCACTATAAAAGAAGGGCAGTCGCACAGACGGTGCGAATTACAGGGGTATTAGCCTAACGCCAGTTGTGACGAAATTATTGGCCTCAATTATCGTTCGTCGCCTCACTGCAGAACGGGAATCTCGGATTAGGGAAGAGCAGGCCGGTTTTCGCCCAGGACGTGGCTGTACAGACCATATATTTACTTTGCGGCAGGTGCTAGAGCAGCTCCACGCATACCGCAGACCGACAATAGCTGTGTTCCTTGATTTCAAGAGTGCGTTCGATTCAGTAGATCGATGGATTCTGTTCGAATTACCTGCGGAAAAGGTGTTCCCACGAAATATGTGAACATCCTTCGTGCTCTATACTCGAACACTACAGGCCGCGTCAGGGTTTACGGTGTCCTATCGGATAGCTTTTCGACTACAAGTGGCGTTCGTCGAGGTTGTCCGATTTCCCCGTTTTTGTTTTATTTCGTCGTGGATTCTATCATGGAGTGTTCCCTTGCGGAATCTCACGATGTGGGCGTTGAAGTGCTGCCTGGTGAACGGTTAGTTGATCTAGATTATGCGGACGATATCGTCTTGCTTTTCGACAATGTTGAGGCTGCACAATGAACCCTGAATAGCCTATCCAGAGTGGTCCCATTATTTGGTATGCACTTCGCACCTTCAAAGTGCAAAGTGTTGCTGCAGGACCACCAGCCACTTTATGACCCTTTGACGCTTGCTAACGAGGAACTCGAGGTTGTTGATCAATTCACTTATCTTGGCAGCTGCATCAACAATGCTGGGCGCATAGAAACTGACGTGAGCTCACACATTGCAAAGGCCAGAGCTGCCTTCTTGAACCAGCGTCATATTTGGCGACAGAAGGGAGTTTCCCTCCGTCTGATAGGCCGTGTATACAAGGTCACAGTGAGGGCCGTTCTGCTGTATGGTAGTGCAAGTTGGCCCCTTCGGTCTGAAGGTCTGAGGCGCCTTCAAGTCTTTGATCATCGTTGTTTGCGAAGCATTGCTGGTGTCGGATGGCACCAGCGTGTCCACAACGATGATGTGCGTAGGCGAGTACTAGGTGGTGATAATCATGCTAGCTCCCTAGAACAACAGATAGCATTGAATAAGTTGCGTTGGCTCGGGCACGTGCTACGTATGCCTGATCACCGCTTACCTAGAAGGGCCTTGTTCAGTCTACCAGGTGTAGGATGGCGCAAGGCTCGAGGTGGACAGAAGTTGACTTGGCAGCGGGAAATGAAGTCACTGACGACCAAACTGGGTGCCGTTGGTCCGTCTCGCCTTCCGGGTTGGAGTCCACGTGACTCGCCTTGTGCTTGGCTCGAGACTTTACAGGACATGGCTCGCAACCGACACCAGTGGCGCGTCTGCTGCCGTCTCCTCATCGGATTGTCTGTTTAAAGTGTGTTTGGTGCTGAGTTATCCGCGGGGTAATGGCTGATTATGACGCGTGGCAGTGAAAGCCGCATGGAAGCTGTCTCGCCGATGTCGCCTTATCTTTGCACGATAGCCAGCTGTGTGTGACGGTATGTTGTCTACACAAGGTGTAGGCGCCTTGACCCTGAATGTTTGCTTAGGGCATTAAGGTTTTCAGGTAAGTCCCCCTTCTCTCCCTCTTCTTATTCTTTATTTCATAGGTCCTCATGGTTGTATGGCAGCGAAGCATCAGTTCAAATGACTGATGTACTGCTTTTGATGAAGATGTGTGTAATCATAAGAGTGTCGATTTTGAAGTTGCGTGTCGTTGGACTCGGGCACGTTTGTACATATGACAGAATTAGGCGTAGGGCTGCTCGTTATTCGCTTAGAGGAACGCGGAGGTGGATCGGTAGCCAGCTTACTTGGTGGGAGGGCCTCCGACGGAAGCGTTGGTCGTCGATGAGTTTTGCACAGATCAGAGGTTAGTAACGGTGAGACGATACGTGATTCAGGACGGTTGAGAGGTTGCTGTCGTCGTTTGGCTAGGCCGTCGACTTTCCGCAGTAGGCTCTGTATCTGTTCTTCCAGCCCAAGTAAGCGCACTTCTGAGCGGGTATTGTTGTTAGGCGGCTCGACGAATCGTGGTGACCAGAGCGACTGCGTCTGCAACGGCTTGATACGCGGTGTGGAGGGCGGGTTAGTAGGAGACGAGATTACAGAACCAAGCATGGGGCAAGTCGTGGAGGAAAGGTCGCTAGGAATATCGCGCCCGTAATTCGCAATCCTGGGAACGCAAACCAGGCAAATGTATCGCAGGACCGTCTGTGGATAAGAGCGACAGAATTCGATGTCAGTTGCATGGAGCGAATTGTCACAGGGAGCGTGAACACGGTGATGACAGATCGAGCAGGTGATGGCTTTGGAACGAGGTCCTACACGCTAAGTGCAAATTGAGCAGGTGTTCAGTGGCCGCATTCGCGTATCGGGCGAGACCGAGATGATCGGCATGGTCAAAAGGGTGACAGAAATATCTGCAACTAAACGTAGTTGAGTAACTCTCTCAGGTGAACAGAACGCGCAGGCAGTAGCCATTCGTTATATATGACAAATCACAATCGGGAGCGATAAGCCTACCGCGAAGGAAATGGAGGGAAAAGGTTACGAAGCTCGATGCTTATGGGCGATGTGGGACAAGCTGTCCACGGAGGAAGGCGTGTTAATGTTTGATTTTGGCCCAAACTAGATCAGCAGAATCGTAGTTCCGCGATCCTTAGTTTCCGAAGGGTTATCTGAACTGCACGAACAGCTGGGTCATGCTGGAATCGACAAACTTGAAGCGGCAGCACGTCAACGGTTTTGGTGGCCCCATCAACGGAGAGACGTCGCTAACTTTAGCCAGACGTGTGAGACATGCGCCACGTACAAGAACCCGAGCATCACCCGGAGAGCACCATTGCAGCCTATGAATGCAGGCTACCCGAACGAGATAGTGGGAGTAGATCTTGTTAGTCCCCTACCAAAAACATCACGTGGGCATCGATACATCTTGGTCATAGTCGACTATTTCACTAAGTGGTGCGAAGCAGTTCCGATCGCACAAGCCGAAACAATCACCGTGACAATGGCGATGGTGAATCACTGGGTGTGTCACTGGGGAGCACCGGGGCAGCTACACTCTGATATGGGTTCATGTTTCTAGAGTTTGTTGGTGCAAGAACTTTGTCGTGTGTTCGGTATAGACAAAACGCGAACGACGGCTTACCACCCGCAAGGCAACGGACAAGTTGGGCGTACAAATCAGTCGCTGAAATCGCTACTGAAGGCCTTTGTGGAGCAAAATGTAAGTGAGTGGGATGTTATGTTACCAAAATGCTTACTGACATATCGGAGCACATTGCACGCTTATACTGCTCAAACACCATTTTTATGTGGACCGGAAGAGAAGTTCGATTACCGTCTGACATTCGACTATCCAGTCTGCAACAGCCACATTCATTGTTGATAGAGTATGTTAGCAAACCCCTTGATTCGCTTTATCAAACACGTCAAGCGGCACGTGTTTATCTTGGGAACGTCCATCAACGACAGAAAGACCATTACGACAAGAAAGTTTTCGGCGCTCGTTTGAAGGCTGGCGACCAAGTTTACTTGCACCAGGTACCAACCGCAGGAGTCCCGGTCAAGCTACACTATGAGTGGACAAGGCCGTACATAATACAGCGGGTGATATCGGATGTGGCATGTGTTCTCAAAGATCTCAACAACCTTGCCAGTCAACCCATGATAGTACATTTCAATAGACTTAAGCCATTCCAGAGTAAAACTGACCAATCTGTTGGGGGGCCGAACGAAACGCCTGGGGAAGTAGCAGTTGAACTGGAGGTGCCGGCTCAGAGTGGCTATGGTGTGGCAACGGGGACGCTGCCTGATTAGAGGGGGTGTGGTGTAGAGAAGGATAGAAATGGATTTGGCGCGCGTCCAAAGTTGCATCTTTGCATTAACGGCACTATCTCCCGTTTGCCTTTCAGCGCGCGTTTCCTGCTCAATTACTGGAGGAGAACAAGGACACGACGACATTGGTTAACTGTGCCTTTACCTCATGTTGATAAAAGAACTGTCCTCCTGCGTTATTCGCCTCTAAATCTTTGACTTTATTCTCACAGAGACCTGCGTGCCATCATTCGACTTGGCTCCGCAAGCTCCTCCTACCACTGTTCATCGATTGGATCTATCATTCACGGATCACCAGCAAACTGTGCTCTTGCAACTTCGAAGTCAACGCTATTTTAATCTTTGCGGATGTTTTATTTTTACTCTCATCGCATAAGAACCCTTGCGGTCTTATTTTAAGGATCTTTTGAGAGCTACCCGATCAGCTTACTACCATTCCTTTAAGTCGCTCTACAAAGCGATAGTCGTCAATTTGACCAGCCCTTGGAACTGTCACTGTCGTCATTAGACAGTATTTTCCAATTCACCTTGCTTTGCCTCAGTCCTACGTCGTATCGCTGCCTACCATCTACCGGCTGGATCGATAGCACGCACGTCGCTTATCTATCCTAAAGAACGAAAGAAAGCAATTTGATGGCTGCGTTGAGGCAAGTGATAAACATTAAGTACAGTCACATTCTAGCCACCCGTGCCTCCAACTTCCATGCTTTCGAATCCCAGGCCACACTAGGAGAACAATTCAAAGCAGATTTGCAAGATCTGGTTTCAGACTTCCCGCTTTATCGCCACGTCACTACGCCCACCAGATTCAGGGGAACTGACAGGCCATCCATGTTAGACCGAATATTCACCAATGGAGAATTAATGGTCGAGAGAGTGCTAACCGATACTCCTTTGGGCCGCAGTGATCATGCGACGTTATTGTTTCATTACATGTGCTACGCTGATTATCCTAAAGAGCATGTCGAGGAATGTCATGTCGTAACCAACTATGAAGACTTGTCCGACCTCATTGATGCAACCCACTAGTCGTTCTTAGCTGAATTAACCCCTGTGGTGAATTCGTCAACATATTTACCAAGCTCGTGGCAAGGACATCTGAAATCAAACGCTACCGGCCTAAAAGAATGAAGTCATTCGTAAGGAGCGGGACACGTAAATGCATGGCATTAAGGGACTTGGCATGGCACACCTATATAGCCTCCCCGAACGACCATACCTGGGATGTCTACACAATACACAAGAACCACTGTGTCAGACTCGTCCGAGAGGGTAAACTTAAGAACCAACAAGGTCTAGTGGATAAGTTTTGCTCCAACCCCAAACTGCTATGCAGACACGTAAACAATTTGCGCCGTGTTAACCGCGGTATTCCTGCTCTGCACACAGCATGCGGCTTAGCCCAAACCGCAAAAGAGTCGGCGAACGTTCTTAACAATTTGGCCGTACCTTCTAAAGCGCGCAATCGTCATACATCCTGCCTAAGCAGATAACGCCGCCATCAGGGCTTAATCACATATGGTTCACCTCCGCAGCTGTAGTGAAGAGGCTGATGTCTCTGCACGAGTTCAGCTCCCCGGGTGCGGACGGCATTCGCCCGAAGGCGTTGAAAGTTGCTGCCATGAGTTTGTCAGGACCACTAGCAATTTTCTTTCAACGATGTCTGAACGAGATGCACGTCCCCACGATGTGGAAGCACGGAATCATCACACCTATCTACAAAAGTGGTAGCCGTGCTGAACCAACAAATTATCGCCCGATAACACTACTTGCTGTGATCTCCAAGGTTATGGAGTCCATTGTAGCTGAGGCTTTGATGGGATATGTAGGACTAGTTAATACTAGTCCGAGATGATGCGCGAAATTAAGCGCGGATATCAGAAGGCAATTGGAGTCGGACACAGCGGATTGTATTCAATGGGCTGCAATAAGAAGCGGATCGATGAAGCGCGAAAAGAGCGAACACGTGAGCGCGGGAACTTACAAGGCTGTCGAGTCGAGCCGGTTGTAAGGACGATTAAAACAAGAAGAAATAATGTACCATCGGTCAACAGGTAAATTGTACATGAAAGATAAGAGTTGTCTTTTTGGGCGCTACAGAGCTCCCCCTAGAAGGCTGAACATAGAAAGCCTTCGATATCGAAAAGGACTGTGGAATCAAGGTTCGTAAGGCAAATTCGTGTCAAGTAAAAATGAGGGAGCGTTCGTGTAAATGGGGGTTCGCCGGAAGTCGGAGTCTGCTGTGCCGTTTGTGATTTGTTATTTATTGATTGCAGGGCAGCGTGCATTTCGGTGAGCCGTTGGAGCGGGCTTGTCGGACTACAAAAAGAACTGGCTAGTCCAGTAAATGGCCGACAGGACCTCAACCTCTGTTGCTAGCAAACGGTGTGCTTGGGAGTAGTTTATCCCTCCACCCTGCGCCAAAATGACCCTTGTCCCACGAAGAAACGACCATGGTTCCACGGAGAAGCGACCCGTGTCCTGCGAAGAAGCGACCGTCGTCCCTCGGAGAAGCGACCCTCGTCCCGCGGAGAAACGACCAGCGTTCGTAGCAGGGCCCTCGAAAAACATTGCTCGTGTGGGCCAGTCGATCGAAGGGGATGGTTGGGGCATGTAGAGACGAGAAAGAAGGAAAACATGCACAGAAAACGCCAAAAACAACGAACGAATGATCTGCATGTTGAAATATTTTTTGGTTTTTGAAAAAGGTTTTTCGGTTTTTGATATTTTTGTTTGTTTTCAAAACGTTAATCGACCAAAATGGGGCAAACATATACAATATCTACAAAGTTAAAAGTATTTACACTGTACAAAGTCGGAGAAACGAACGGGTTTACGCACCTCCCGACCACGGCGATTGGTCGTGTGAGGCGGCGGACTAGGTTCGGGAGATGTCGGGACGGCTGAAGCTTGGAGACCGTGATTGTGGTCCGGTTGGACTTCATTAGCATGCGGAAAACTGGTGCGGTGAGTTGTGACGTCTCACGAAGCAATACTAGACGAAGTAGGCGAGGTAGTTTCTTCCATAAAGGCGGGTTTCAGACGGTTGATGGTGACGACTTCGTGTCGACCACCGCGGTCAGTAGTGTACGCCTTACTCGCATGATGCAGCACCTTGAAGGGTCCTATGTACGGCGACTGAAGATGCTGTCGAACACCGTCTGCGCGAAGAAGGACGTGTGAACACGTAGACAGCTTCTCGGGCACGTACGCTGGTGTCTTCTGCGATCGAGGAGCGGGTGGACGTAGCTCACGCATCTGGTGAGCCAATCGATCAGTGTAACTTCCGTAGTCAAAAGTGGAAGTACATGGGGCTGGTGTTACCAGCTGTCCGGGCAACCGCAGCGTGCAGCCGTAGAGTAGCTGCGCTGGTGTGGCGTCGAAATCGGTTTCAACCGTGTTTCTTAATCCTAGGAGAACGAGGGGAAGTTTTTCAGACCATGAAGGATCTGCGTGCGCACATAGCGCTGCCTTCAACTGGCGGTGAAAACGCTCCATCATGCCGTTAACGGCCGGATGATACGCCGTCGTCTGAACGTGGCGGCAGTCTAAATCCTTAAGCAACATGGCAAACGTTGACGAGAAATGTGACCCTCGATCAGTGGTAACGATGGCGGGGCAGCCATATTGAGCTACCCAACGCTCCATAAAAGCTTTCGCTACTGTTTCCAAAGAGCAGTTAGGTATGGGAATGGCTTCCGGCCACCTAGTGAATCGATCGACACAGGTCAGCAGACACACATAGCCTTTCGAAGGCGGCAGAGGACCTACGAGGTCTACATGCACGTGATGAAAACGTGCGTCCGGCGTCGGAAAGGTGCCTAATGGGCTTCTCCTGTGCTTGTGCACCTTCGCGCGTTGACACGGAAGGCAAGCAGTTGCCCACGTACGGACGTCCCGATTAACATTGCGCCAAACGAATCGTGCGGTTACGAGTTTAACCGATGCACTAACGCCTGGATGAGACAAGCCGTGTAACGTGTCAAACACGGTCAGCCGAAACTCGCGTGGAAAGACGGCGCGGCGTGCCCAGAGATAAATCGCAGAGTATGGTGCCGTTTGCTGTAGTCAGCGGAACGGGTCGTATGTCTAATTAGGGAGACCTGCGTAGCAGATCAACCTCAGGATCGTTAAGTTGTGCTGTGGCCAAGGCTGCCAAGTCGATAGAAGTGCCGGCGTCAGCGGAGATAGCTTGGATGCGGGAAAGTGCATCGGCGACGGCGTTGTGCACACCTGCGACATGCCGTATATCGGTCGTAAACTGAGCGATATAGTCAAGGTGGCGTGACTCTCTAGGGGAGGATCGGTCGGTAGTCGAGCCGACCACGTAAGTCATGGGTTTGTGGTCGGTGAAGACGACAAAGGAGCGGCATTCTAGGACGTGTCGAAAGTGACGTATCGCTAGATATACGGCTAGTAGTTCTCTACCAAACTTGCTGTAGCGAGATTCGGTAGATTGTAGGCGTTTGGAGAAAAACGCTAAGGGCTGCCACGTGTCGGCTACTCGTTGCTGCAAAACAGCGCCGATTGCGACGTCCGAGGCGTCAGTACTGAGGGACAGTGGGGCGGTCGGATCGTGATGCGCTATAGAAGCTATGTTGGCGATAGCCTCTTTCAGCGACTTAAAAGCAGCGCGTGCTGCAGCTGGAAATTCGAATTTCTTGAGTTTCCCTCAGAGAGGGTCCGTGAGGGGTTGCATCAGCGAGGGGCAGTTGGGTATAAATCGACGGTAAATTTGACCAGGCCATCAAAACGCCTGAGCTGTTTGAAAGAATGAGGTTCGGGGTAGTAGATGATGGCTTGAATTTTATCCTGCAGTGGTACGACGCCTGCAGCGGAGATACGATGGCCGAGGAATTTTACTGAATCGACACCAAACGAACACTTTTCTGCGTTGATCGACACCCCGTGTTGAGATAAACGATCAAAAAGTGTTCGTACGTGGCGCATATGCTCTTCTCATGAACAGCTTGCGATTAAACTGTCATCGAAATACGCGTAAGCGCAGTCTAAGCCGCGACAAACTTGGTCGATGAAGCGCTGTAAAGTTTGCGCGGCATTCTTTAGACCAAAAGGCATGCGCAGAAACTCGAACAAGCCAAATGCAGTCGTTACAGCAGTTTTAGCGGAATTTGGTTGTGTGCGCGTACCAAGTCGATTTTAC